ATATATAAAGAATGAATCCATTTATTTTATTTTTTTTTAATAATTTATTTATTTATTTTTCCCCCAAAGCCCCAGTAGATAGTTGTATGTCATAGCTGCAGATCCTTCTAGTTGCTGTATGTGGGACACGGCCTCAGCATGGCCAGAGAAGCGGTGCGTCGGTGTGCGCTCAGGATCCGAACCCGGGCCGCCAGCAGCGGAGCACAAGCACTTAACCGCTAAGCCACAGGGCCGGCCCAAGAATGAATCCATTTAAAAGTTGGACAACCCAATAGAAAACTGAGAGAGACACTTGAACAAGCACATCACAAAAAAGGGCTTGGTCAAAAGGCCAATATGCAAATGAAAAGATGTTCAATTTTATTACTCATCAGGGAGATGCAAATTAAAACTACAATGAGCTAGCACTACACACCCTACAGAATGGCTAAAAGTAAAACGCCTGACACAGCCGACTGTTGGTGAGGATGTGGAGCAATGGAAATGCTCCAACATGGCTGGAGGGAGGAGAAGAAATTATTACAACCACTTTGGAAAACTCCTTGATAGTATCTACTAAAGATAAAAATATATATTCCCTATGACCCAGCCATTCTACTCGTGTTCATACCCACGAGAAACGTGTATATATGTTCACACTATGTTGTGAATGTACTAGAACAAAATATATACTAGAATGTTAAGAGCAATACTATTTGCAAGAGCCAAAAAATGGAAACAACTCAAATTTCCACCGCCAGTTGGTATATAAATAAATCATGTATATTCACACAAAGGAATGGATTGCACTTATGCACCCAACCTCAATGAATTTCACAATCATAATGTGACACAAGAGTTCATAGGGTATAATTCTATCTATATCATGTGGAAAACAGGCAAAATAAAACTATTGTATATAAAGAGGCATACTTAAGTGTTGAAACCAAAATCAGGTAAAAGTAAAGTGGGTACCTTCACGGGGAAGGAGAAAGTAATGTCTGGAAGGAGGCAGAAGGGGGCTTGTGGAAAGCTGGTAAGATTTGTTTCTTCACCTGGTTGATGGTTACACAGGTGTGTTCCCTTTGTCATAAGGCATTAAGTGGAACGTTTATGTTTCACATACTTTTCTGTATGCGTGTCCTATTTCACAATCAAAAAAGTTTAATCTAAAAATGATTTAGAAAAGAAGGTTCTTCATAGCCTTATCTTACAAACCCAGTGGACTAGATGTTTTGGGTATAATAATGATTGGGAGGGATGTGGGTGGCACCTGCTCTGTGCTATGCACTGTTCTGAGTGGTTTATATCTACTACCTTATTTAATCCTCACAGCAACCCTATGAGACACTTACTATTATTTTCCTCATTTAACAGATGGGGAAACTGAGGCACAGAGAGGTTCAATAACTTGCCTAAGCTGGTGAATGCTTGAGCTGGATCCAAACACAGGCCACCTGGCCCCAGAGTAGATGCTCTGTTCACCCCCACAAGTTCTTCTTTCCGAGGAATGAAATGAGAAATAGAGAAGTGGAAGTAGATTTCACAAAACACAATGGTATCTAAAAGGAGAAACTAGAAATAGTTCAATGGCTGTCCTGAGAGGAGGGGAGAAGCCACAAGTGAGCTATGAGCCCTCACCCACCACATCGGGGACCAACAGGTCCAATTCCATGGGGCTTCTTTTTTGTGTGTGTGTGTGTGTGAGGAAGATCAGCCCTGAGCTAACATCCATGCTAATCCTCCTCTTTTTTTTGCTGAGGAAGACTGGCCCTGGGCTAACACCTATTGCCAATCCTCCTCCTTTTTTTTCCCCAAAGCCCCAGTAGATAGTTGTATGTCATAGTTGCACATCCTTCTAGTTGCTGTATGTGGGACGCGGCCTCAGCATGGACGGAGAAGCGGTGTGTCAGTGCGCGCCCGGGATCCGAACCCGGGGCCGACAGCAGCGGAGCATGTGCACTTAAGCACTTAACCGCTAAGCCACGGGGCCGGGCTCCATGGGGCTTCTTAACCTGAGTTGGTGGATGGACTTCAGGGGCTGCGTGAACTTGGATGGGAAAAACAATGACCTCTTTGATTTCATTCAGCAGTCCTCAAAATATGGTTTGGGAACCCCTGCGAGTCCCCAAGACCTTTCTCAGGGGGTTAATGAGGTCAAAATTATTTTCATAATAGTACTAAGCTGTATTTGTCACTTTCACTTTCCAAAGGCTGCCTGCCCTGTGATGACACATCACCCTGATGGCTCATGGAATGCATGCGTGTGTATTCTCGTGTTTTAAAATCTTCTTTCGGGCTGGCCCCGTGGCTTAGCGGTTAAGTGCACGCGCTCCGCTACTGGCGGCCCAGCCGGGATCCTGGGCGCGCACCGACGCACTGCTTCTCTGGCCATGCTGAGGCCGCGTCCCACATACAGCAACTAGAAGGATGTGCAGCTATGACATACAACTATCTACTGGGGCTTTGGGGGACAAATAAATAAATAAATAATTTTAAAAAAAAAGCTTTCTTTAAAAAAAAAATAAATAAATAAAAGCTTCTTGGTTTTATTTTATACACACATATAAAATATATGTATATCTATAAAATCTATATATGTAAAATATATGTATATATGTAAAATATATGTGTATATATAAAATATATGTATACAAAATATACATATACAAAAGCTCTTTGGGGTCCTCGATAATTTTTAAGAGGATCAAGTTTAAGAACTGCTGATATAATTGAAATTTAGCACGTCCTTCTGTCATGAGGCAGGGGTGGCAATGGACCACAAGACTGTTAGCAGGTTTCTGGCTTTGCCAGGAGAAGAAATCACAGATATTTTCAAATCCCACAGCAGGACCCTCAAATATCTGCTATACTCTCATCCCAGCTTCTCAATTACCATAATTTTTGGACCTGTCACTAGATCTTGAAGTTTAATGCGTTAATAAAAGCACATATATTACCGTATCACATATTTGTTTTAAAAATATTTGTATACAAACTTCCAGTTATAAAATTAATAAGTCATGGGGATGTAATGTATGGCATAGGGAATATAGTCAATAATATTGTAATAACTTTGTATGGTGACAGATGGACTTATTGTGGTGATCATTTTGTAATGCATGTAAATATCGAATCACTATGATGCACACCTGAAACTAGTAAAACATTGTATGTCAATTATACGTCAATAAAAAATATTTGTATATCTGTACTTCAATAGTGTTGGTTTCCTTTGTAATCCTGTGTATTTATTTTATGCATGTAAAAACACGATTTTGAGATGGGTTTCACCAGCCTGCCATAGGTGTTTTGAGCACAAAAACCTTAGGAACCTCAGATTCTGGAAGATAACCAGAAAAACTAAAACTAAGTGGAAGTTACCACTGATGGGGTGGGTGTGGGTGGGGAGGTCTGGAGGGTATTTGAGTACAGCTAAGAGAGCTGTTTTCTCTTCCATTTTAAGCTGTTATGGAGACTCTGGAAGGTGGGAAAAAATCCAAACAGTGCAAAAGGCCCCTCTTGAACCCCCCCCCCCCCCCTCAGTGTCGGTCTCCGACATCTGTGTCCCCAACCTGCAGACGCTGCTGTACTTTCAATTTACAAAGCCAAGTCGTGGGGTCATTTTATTTGCAGACAGGAAGAGGGAACAACTGAGAATCTGGACCCTCAGACTTTCCTGCTGTTCCAGAACCCCCAAGCTCACCACTCACAACCTCAGACAGCTCCCAAAGCTTTACAGGGAACATTCTCACTTGCTCCCGCCTAGAGCCGGGGGCCATTTCTGGAGTTCATGCGTTAATAATAATAAAAACAACAGCTAACATTTATCCCGCGCTTACTCTGGGCCAGGCCGCGTTCTCAGCATGAAATTTCATGCGTCAACTTGTTTAATTCTCACAACATCCCGTGGGGTACGTCCTGTTACCACCCTCTTTTGACAGGTGAAAAACGGAGGCCCAGAGTGGTCGAGTAACCCGCCGAGGGCGCACAGCTCAGAAGCGGCGCTGGCAGCGTGGATTTTAGATTTTGTTTTCCGCCCGGGGGTCTGGGGAGGAATCAGTGGGCTGAGCTTGGAGAGGAGGAAGGCGGAAGGAATTGCGAGGCAGATGCAGCGGCGCGGCGGGAAGGGACGGGGGATGCCCGGCTGGCAGGCGCCGGTGCCAGCACAGCTGGGTACGGCGGGACCCGGCAGGGCCAGGAGGTGTCTGTGCCCCGGGGGCTTCGCAGCTGCGGGGTGGGGCGCCTGGGGGACGAGCGTAGACTTACCTGTCCGGGCGCTCACCTGGTGGCTTGGAGACGGCGGCGGCGACGTACCAAAAAGTCCCGGGTCCCCTTTCCGGGGCCCCGCCCTGGAGGGGTGGGCGGGTGGCGCTCAAGACCGGCCGGACCTGTGGGACCCGGGGCCCCGGCTGTCTGGGGAGCCCGTCACCTCGAGAGAGCAGGCTCTTCCGGGGCTGGGACTGCTGTGGGCGGCGGGATGCCTCGGCGCCTGCAGACTCATAAATACCGCTGCCGCGCAGGTGGCCAGAGACGCACGCGCGGGCAGGTGGCGCCCCCGAGGGTGAGCTGGGGACCGGGAGGGTGCCCCCTGCCCCAGCTCCCGACCTCCGGGCTGCCGATCCCGGCCCTGCTCGCCCCGGGCAGGTCCTCGGGGAGCAGGAGCGGGCCGGGAAGGGCTGGGGAGAAGTGGAGTGGGTATGCAGGTGCAGGGCCGGCAGAGACAGGTGGAGATGGTGGGCGAGGGGTTGAGGCAGGATGGGATGCTGGGGAAGGGGCAGAGGAAACAGGGCCTCTCCAGGTAGGATGGAATTCTGGGGGGATCTGGGGATGGAAAGGAGAGATTGGGGTCACTAGGAACAAAATGGAAGGCTGGAGGATGGAGTAGTAATCAGGTCTCTGAGGGCAGAGTGGAATGCTGCGGACCTAGACAGAAAGGTAGAAGAAATGGGGGTTACTAAAAGCAAGATGGAATGCTGGGGACAGAGCTGTCAAAAGCAACTTTCTGCTCTGAGCCCCCCACCCCACTCCCAGACCTCTTTCACTGAGAGTGAGCATGGTTAAGAGCAAGGACTCTGGACCAGGGCCCCTGGGTACCAATCCCGGCTCCATCACATCCCAGTGGTGCCACTGAATCACTGGGTTGCTCATTTTCCTCACCTGTGATTTGGGGTGATGATCTCAGTGGCCACCACACAGAGGAATGCTGGGAGGCTCCCGGGAGTTAATCTATGCAGAGCGCTCATCTGGAGTGAGCCTCAGAGAGCATCTGCCGCTCTGTAGTGATCGTCATCTTTTCTCTCCAGCATCCGGATAACCAACCCCTTGAAGACCTCCATCCTGCCTCGGGACACTGCCTGATCCCCCTCCATTCTCCACCCTCCCCGCCCCTCCCGCTGTTCCTGACGGAATCTAATCTACTCCGGACCCTTACCCTTCCCCTCTCTGCCCCCACCATCCGGTTACCATGCGCCCCCTTCGTCCCTGCTGGTCCTGCTGCTGTCTGCTCCTCTTCTTCTCCCTGGGAATCCAGGGATCCCCAGAGGCTCCCAGCGCTGCCCCCGAGCAAGTCCACCTGTCCTACCCAGGTAAGTGGCTGTGACCCCGCCCTGGGTGTTTCCCAGCAAGGTGGGGGACTCAGGAATCCGACCCTGACTGCTGTGGGACCCTAGGCTGGCGGCTTGATCTTCCTGAGCCTCAGTTGTCCATCTCTGTTAAATGGGGATTACGAGCAGTGGTGCATCTGGCCGTGTGGGAAATGATTCTGATGCCTAGCCCATTGTAAGCGCTCTCCAGAGGGGGCTGCTGTTGTCCTTACGCATGTGTCACTGCTCATTGTATCCCCGTGAGGCTGCCTCCTGCTCTTGACCAAGAGGTGGTGGTGCACTGTGGGATGAGACCTCGGACTCTGGACCCTCTGCACCCAGACTTCCTGGGCTTGAATCCCAGCTTTGCGCCTTACTTGCTGTGTGACCTTGGGCAAATGACTTAACCTCTCTGGCCTCGTCCTCCTCATCTGGACAATGGGGTAATATTAGTGTGACCTCATGGTGAGGAGTTAATGAGATGTTACCTGTGAAGTGGCAACACGGAGCTTGGCGTGTAGCAGTGGTTCTAACACGATTTTGTCTCAGCACCCCTTTGTGCTGCGAAAAATTATGGAGCACCTCAAAGGGGTTTGGTTTACGTGTTACATCCAGCAATATTTGCCGTATTAGAAATTAAAGCTGACGTCTTTAAAAATATTGTCGTTTAAAAGGAACAATAAGAAACTCATTCTGTATTAAAGTAAATGACACTTTTCATGAAAAATGACTACACTCTACAAAAGAAAAGGAATTTAGTAAGAAGAGTGGCATTGATTTACATCTTTTAAGTCTCTAACGTCTGGCTGAATCGGAGACAGCCAGCTTCTCCGCACATCTCCTCTGCTTACGCCTGTTTCGATATGTTGCTTCAGATGATGTATATGAGGAAAGATTGGTCTCACACAGACGTGTGGCTGGAACAGGGAGGAGGAATTTAATAGGAGTTTCAGATAATTGTGGCCATTCCTTTTTGATACTGCACCGAAAACTCAACACACTGGAGTTTCTCTTTAAAATTATTTTAGCTTTCTATTTTGAAATAATTTTAGACATACAGAAGAGTTGCAAAGATAGCGGAGTTCCTGTACCCCCTCCACCCAGCGACCCCCAATGTTAATCTTTTTGCATCCGTGGTACCATTGCCAAAGCCGAGAAATTAACACGGTGTCATATCACTACCTGAATGTGGACGCTAGTCACTTTCCGCCAGTTTTCCCATGATGCCTTCATTCTAATCCAGTGTCCCATCCAGGGTCCCTCTTTGCATCCAGTTGCCACATCTCTAGACCCCTCCCATCTGTGACAGTTCCTCAGTCTTTCCTTGTTTTTTGTGTCCTTGACACTTAAGGAAGACGCTTTCTTAAAGGCTAGTTGCAATGTGGAATGGGAAACTGTCTGAATGCACTGGCTTTGGCGGTTGCTGGCCGAGTGACCTTGGACATGGCGCTTTGCCCCGAGGCCTTTATAAAATAGAACAATAAAACCCATCTCGTGGGGCTGCTGTGAAAATCCATGAGGACTCAGCTGCCCCTGTTTGGACTACACGATAATAATCGCAAATATACTCTTACTAAGAGCTTCAGACGGATAACTCACTTAGCCTCATATTGGACCTTCAGCTGGAGGCACCATTGTTACTCCCATTTCACAAGAGTAAACTGAGGCTCATAGAGAAGAGTCTGACCCCAGGTCACACAGTCTGGAATTTGAACCCAGGCAGGCTGGCTCAAGAGCCCACGATATATGTTTTTAAAACTTTAAAATTTGTACTAATTTTAGATTTAACAGAAAATTTGCAAAAATATTACAGAGTTCTTACATCCCCAGCTTACTCAATTGCCCCTCATGTTAACATCTCACGTAACCACGGTCCAATTGTTAAAACTGGGAAATGAACGTTGGTACAACGCCATGGACCAAACTGCAGATTTCGTTTGAATTTCACCAGTTTTCCCACTAATGTCCTTTTTCTGTTCCAGGATCCAATCCGGGATCCCACTTTGCGTTTACTTGTTGTGTCTCCTTGGTCCCTCCAATCCGCCAGGTTCTCAGTCTTTCCTTATCTTTTGTGATCTTGACATTTTTGAGGACTGAGCAGTTGTTTTGTAGGCTCTCCTTCCTTTTGGGTTTGTCTGACATTTTCTCGTGATTGGAATTGTTTTGTGTTTTTCTGGCCAGACTATCACAGATGTGCTGTTGTGTCCCCCTCGGTGCACGGTATCAGAGGGTTCACGATGCTGACATGGCGTATTGCTGTTGCTGGTGGTGTTGACCTTCATTGCTTGGTTCAAGTGGTGCCTTCTGGGTTTCTCCACTGTAAAGTTATTATTCTTCCCTTTGTAGTTAATAAATATCTTGGGGGAGATTCTTTGAGACTGTACAAATCATGTTTCTCCTCAAACTTTCACCGACTAATTTTAGCATCCGTTGGTGGATCTTGTCTGCAACAATTATTAGCATGGTGTTTGCCTAATCGTGATTTTTTAAGTTTCTAATTCCCTCTCTCCATCTAGTTGAAATTTTACTGTAAGGAAAGGCTGTCCCTCCCCTCTCCATTTATTTATTTATTCAATTACTTATTTATATCAGTACAGACTCACGGATATTTATATTTATTTTATTCCTTGAGCTAAAAGTCCAATACTATCGTTATTTATTTTGAGGCTCAAATTTCCCAGATTTGGTCTTTTGAAATTCCTGCACATTGGCCTCTGTGCTCTTCCAACAAACCCCCATCATTTTTTGAGGACTTCCTCACTTTCTGGCACCACAAATTATTCCAGGCTCATCTTGTATATTTCCTGCCCCATCTCTGGAATCAATTGCGTCTCCAAGGAGCCCTGGTTCCTTTCACTGAAGAATGGGTATTTAGAAACTAAGATCTGAGCACGAGGTGTGCTCATTGCTACTGAGGCGTCCTTGCTTCTAGGCCCGCTCACAAGCAGAGCTAGGCAATGCGTGTGTGTATGTTGACATGCATATGCACACATCTATATTTCTGAATCTACCTGAATATATATGAAATACCATGAGAGCATAGTGATACCTCTAATTTCAGTCCAACAGCAAGGGTTTATTTTAACCTTCTTCTTGCCTTATTTGTAATTTCTTTCTCCAACATTGAGAAACTTAGCTCCCACTGTCTGCAATGTACTCACTTATTTGTTCAATGCTCATAGAGGCATAAAGCAGTGTCAGAATTGTTTGCCCATCTCCCTGTGAGGGACACTTACTAGATGATGGCATTTCTGTGCAGTCATGCCCAGTCAAGATGCTACTTCCCATGGTTACTTTTCTTCCCGCCCCCTTCAGTGTGGTTACACTATTCATTTTTTAATATAGTTACCTCCATTTGTTAGTGTTTCTATTCTATATTGGCTTCACTCCCATCCTGTGTGGTTTTGGTTGTTGGTTTATTTTTTTGGTGTGTGAAGGAAATACAAAACATGGCCATCGTTCTAGGAGTCAGAATTATCCAAAAAAGACTCAGAACAGTGTCCTCCTTCCTCGTTCCTACTACTCCAACCCCATTCCCTCTTTTTTCTCCCCCCTTCCCATCCACTCCATGTCAGAATCCATCTCTTTAGTTTCTGATGTAGCCTCCCTGCATTTCTTTTGTACAAATGAGGGATGCCAGGGTGTTGTTTTATATCCCCTTAATGCAGAGCAGCTGACTCTGGATACTCTTATGTACTCTGCTCTTTTTATTTAACTGTATGTCCTGGACATTGTTCTGTGTCAGTTCCCAGAGCTTGTCCTGTTTCGTTGTCACCACTGCCCAGTGCTCTGTTGTACGGACGCTATATAGCTTGTTCAGTCACTCTCCTAGGCTGGGCATTTCGGTTGTTTTCGATATTTTGCAATTACAAACAGTGCTGCAATGAATAACCACGGGCACATGCATTTTCGCGCTGCTGGAGGAAGAACTCATGCTCTTAGCATTACAGGATGCCACACGGGATTTTTAAAACTTTTATTTGGTTGCTAACATTTATGAATTGGGAGCTATCGCGTGAAAGTCTGGGTTTGTATATCTGTATATGCCTCTGGGATATAAAAACCACCGTGTAAAGAGTTACGCTAGAAGGTGACAGATTTGGTGGCGCTGGGCCTGCTACCTGCATGGCAGCTGTCACAGAGCTGAGCGCTGGCTGTCCCATTTAGACAGGGCGGGGTCTGCGGTTTGCACACACTCCACGACTCCTTGCTGCCTTACTCCTTACAGCTGGCCCTTGTCCCCGTTTACGTGCCCTAGCTGGCCTCCAGACATCTGAGTTGACAACCCCTAAATGATGTCTGTAAAATATTTGGCACAGGGCCTGCACACAGTAAATAATGATATTAATAATAATATTCATTCGCTCATGTAACCCTGACTGTACTAGGCACTGTTTCAAGTGCTTTACTTATGTTAATTCATCTAAGCCTCACAAGAACCCCATAGGGTAGATATTATTACTCCATTTTACAGATAAGGAAACTGAGGCTCAGAGAGGGGAAGTGACTTGCCTAAGGAAAGCACAGCTTGGAAATGGCGGAGCTGGGATTGGACTCGGGAGGCTCCAGAACATGTGTCCTTTTTTTAATGTTTTTTTTTTTTTTTAATTTTATTTATTTATTTTTTCCCCCAAAGCCCCAGTAGATTGTTGTATGTCATAGCTGTACATCCTTCTAGTTGCTGTATGTGGGACGCGGCCTCAGCAGGGCTGGAGAAGCGGTGTGTCGGTGCGCGCCCGGGATCCGAACCCGGGCCGCCAGCAGCGGAGTGTGCGCACTTAACCGCTAAGCCACGGGGCCGGCCCAAGAACATGTGTCCTTAACCACTAAACGTGTGAGAGCCCCTCACTCTCTCCGCGCAGCCCTCCCGGCCCTGCCCAGGCCTCACTGCCCAGCCCGCTGTGTTCCTTTCTCCCCAGGGGAGCCGGGCTCCATGACTGTAACCTGGACCACATGGGTCCCAACCCGCTCTGAAGTGCAGTTCGGGATGCAGCCCTTGGGACCCCTGCCCCTCCGGGCCCAGGGCACCGTCAGCACCTTCGTGGACGGGGGCATTCTCCGGAGGAAGTTCTACATACACAGGGTCACACTGCGGCGGCTGCTGCCAGGGGTCCAGTATGGTGAGAGGGGTCGCAGGCTGAAGTGTTGAGGGGGGATGGGAAGAGGAGTGGATATGGACGAGATGCTACCGCTCCCGATGGCTCAGGCTGGGCTGGCACCTCCTCTGGTTATCTGCAAGCCCATTGTAGGAGACCCTGGGATGAAAATGGAAGGCATTGGGGACCAGGGGCGAGGTGGACAGAAGGGGCATGAGTCAGACCCATTCAATCTCCACTCCCTGCCCCGCCAAGTGAAGATGGATGGGGGTGGAGGGGACGTCCTGGGGTGCCCCCAGCTGACCGTGACCTTTTCCTTCCCCTCAGTTTACCGCTGTGGCAGTGCTCAGGGCTGGAGCCGTCGGTTCCGCTTCAGGGCCCTAAAGAATGGACCGCACTGGAGCCCCCGTCTGGCTGTGTTTGGGGACCTGGGGGCTGACAACCCGAAGGCCCTGCCCCGGCTGCGCAGGGACACCCAGCAGGGCATGTACGATGCTGTTCTCCATGTAGGTGAGGCATCGGCAAGGGTGCGCCTGGAGGTATAGGGGGCTGGGTGGGAGGCAACGTTAGCTCTGTGGAGGGGGCTGGGCTGGGGCTAGCGTGGGTCTGGAGGCATGGGGGATGAGACTGGCCCTGGAGATGGTGTCTGGTTAACCAGACTGCCCAGGGCAAAATCCCGACTCCAACACTTAGAGTGATGTGCCCTGGCTGTCTCCTCTGTGTGATTATTATTGGAGCTGAGACTAGTTTAGAATTCACAGGACTGTTGTGATGGTTCAATAAGTTGACATTGCCTGGCATACTGTAAGTGCTACCTAAGTGTTAGTTGTTATTATCATTACTGTTATTATTTGAGGGGACAGGGAACCAGATGGGAGATGGAGATTGAGCTGATACGGTTCAAAGCCGCAGACTCTGGAATCAGAATCCCAGAGTTTGATTCCTAGATCCCACTAACAGCTCTGTGACCTTGAGCAAACACTTAACCCCTCTGGGCTTCAGTTTCCTCATTTGAAATGGAGAGAATAGTAACACCACCTCAGAGGATGTTTTGAAGATTCACGCGATCAAGCATGTAAAGCATTTGGCACTGTGCCTGGTACAAAACAGTACCAGACATGTTGGTCTCAGTGTAGTTGCTGTTCTGGGAGGGGACAAGACGGCAGGCAGAGATGGGGGCTGAACCGAGCACAAGAGACTAGCATGGTCCTGCAGGGGTCTCAGGGACCAGAGGTTCAGGAAACAGTTCCAAGTGCACATGTGGGTGGGTGTGAGGTAGGGATCAGAGAACCTGAATGGCTCGGAGGCCAGGGGTCGCACAGCCCACATGTGAGCAACCAGTCTCTCAATGCTGGTCAAGGCAGAGCCGGGTCTGCATCCTCACTCTCTCCCTGCCCCCCGCCCCCCAGGAGACTTTGCCTACAACATGGATCAGAACAACGCTCGCGTCGGGGACAGGTTCATGCGGCTCATTGAACCTGTGGCCGCCAGCCTGCCATACATGACGTGCCCTGGGAACCACGAAGAACGCTAGTGAGGGCCGAGGGCTCCAGGGTGGGCGAGGGCCCGGGCAATGAAAACAGATGTGTCCTGCTTAGGGTCTCGCCTTGGTCTCTCCTACTGCAGCTGCTCATCTGTAGTAGTGGAGGAGAGGAGAGGAGAGGAAGGATGGGCGAGGGGCCAGACTTGTCCTGACAGTGGGGAGGCAGGGGTGGGGCGGGGGCACCCAGACTCTCCCCCTACCTTTCACTTCCTTTTATCCAGCAACTTCTCTAACTATAAGGCCCGCTTCAGCATGCCGGGGAACACAGAAGGCCTGTGGTACAGGTAATCTGGGGGACCTGGGCGACTGACCTCTCTCCCCTGAAGGATGGGAGATGCAGAGGAGACCCCACCTCTGACCCCTGCCCTTTGACCCCTCCAGCTGGGATCTGGGCCCGGCGCACATCATCTCCTTCTCCACCGAGGTCTATTTCTTCCTCCATTACGGCCGCCACCTGGTAGAGAGACAGTTTCACTGGCTGGAAAGGGACCTCCAGGTAACCTGGGTGGAGGCCCCCTTTCGTCTCTTGGACCTGCCCCCCCGCCCCTCCCCCACCCTCCCCCTCACTCTGGGCCCTTCTCTCTAGGAAGCCAACAGGAACCGTGTAGCCCGGCCGTGGATCATTACCATGGGTCACCGGCCCATGTACTGTTCCAATGCTGACCTGGATGACTGCACGTGGCATGAGAGCAAGGTGAGGCCCCCCTCCCTGGGCGGGGTGCTGACAGCCACATGGGGGACCCACCTGAGTCACCCCTCCCCCCCTCGCTTGTCCTGCCCAGGTCCGCAAAGGCCTCCACGGCAAATTCTATGGGCTGGAGGATCTTTTCTACAAATATGGTGAGTGCCCTGGGGGGACTCCCCAGCCCCAGGTCCACCCCCATCTCTCCTGGATTCAGGGGCCTGACCCCGCTTGTTCTGTCTCAGGGGTTGACCTGCAGCTGTGGGCTCATGAGCACTCGTACGAACGGCTGTGGCCAATTTACGACTACCAGGTGAGGCTCAGGGAGGGCCGAGGGCCCACAGGGCTGGCGTCAGTGGACCCCTGGTCAGACCCAAGGGCATGGCCGGGTGTGACATGCTCCTCCCCCTTGTCCCCCTCTCCAGGTGTTTAACGGCAGCCAAGAGATGCCCTACACCAACCCTCGAGGCCCTGTCCACATCATCACAGGATCTGCCGTGAGCAGGGCGGGGAAGGGCGCCTTCGGCTTCTCTTCTCTTGCTATTTATTGGGGCTGAACTTGTACCAGCCCGGGAGCTGTGAGCCTTATACAGTCGCTACCACTAACCCTTGACCCTAGAGCTTAGGTACCCTAGTAACATGCCCATTGTCCAGATGCAGAAACAGAGGCTCAGACTGTGAAATAGTGTTCAAAGTCTCAGGGTCAGTAAGTGGCAGGGGTGGGGTTGCCCAGGTCTACTGGATGGATCCAGGGGCAGAGGGCTGATTATTATTACAGTAACTGAACAACAGACTTTATTCACACTCCACCAGCTCTCTCACTAACGACCCTTTTCTGCTCTAGGATCCCACATTGTGTTTAGTTTTTCTCTTTAATCTCCTCCAATCTGTGGCAGTTCCTCAGTCTTTCCCTGTCTTTCCTCCTTCAGACCGTTCAAGACTCTTGGCCAATAGTTTTGCAGAATGCCCCTCGATTTGTGTTTGTTTGACATTTTCTTGTGCTGGAATTCGGGTTATGCATTTTGGGCGAGACAATCGCAGAAGTGATGTTGTGTCCTTCTCAGTGCCTCGTGACAGGAGGTACATGACGTCGATGTGTCCCGTTTCTGGATGTGTCTCTGAATCCCCTGATTACGGAGGTGTCTGCTGGGTTCCTCCACCGTAAAGTTATTATATTTCCCTATTTAATTAATAAATATCTTGGAGGGGATAGTTTTAGACCATGCAAATGTTCTGTTTCCCCTGAAACTTCCACCCGCTAATTTTTGAATCTGTCAGTGGGTCTTGTCTGCGATGATGATTACTGTGGTGTTTGAACGGGGATTTTCTATTTCCCTCGTTCCTCCTAGATTTGTTCCTTAGAACCCTCCTGTGAGGAAGTTATGCACTGCCCCATCTATTTGGTTAGTTAGTTATTGATTTATACCATATGAACTCATGGGTAATCACTTTATTCTCTGGGCTATAATCCAACGCTACTGTTATTTATGTTGCTGCTCAAATTTTCCAGCTTTGGCCCCTGCGTCCCTTTGACAAGCCGCTGTCGTTTTGTGAGCACCTCACTTTTCGGCACCAAAAGGTGCTCCAGGATCAGCCTGTGTTTTCCCCGCCCCAGGCTTGGCATCACTCACCTCTGCAAGTAGAGAAGGCTTATTTTTCAAGCTGATTCTTACAAATCAGTAAGGTCAAAGTAAGAACCTCTTGTGATAAAAATTCAAACAGTGCGGAGGGCAGGAGATGAACACCAGCTGCCCACACCCCATCTTAATCCACCCTTCAGCTGTTACGTCTCAGGGGGCAATTGAGAATGTTGTCTGCGTATACAAAGGGGGGACTTGAATCGATAGAGATGTGCCTCGCCTTGCTTCACACCCTAGCGGTTCTCAACCTCGGTGCCCGTTAGAATTACCTGGGGAGGTTTTAAAGCCCATTGCCTGGGCCCTCCCCAGAGCAAGCCCCAGAATCGCTGAGGGCGGGGCCCTGGAAATGCATGTCCCTGTGAAGCCACCACCTGGCGCAGGAAACAGAATGTCTTCAGCACCAGCTGGCTCCTCAGGCCCACAGGTGATCGATAGTCTGACCTTGATCAGCACAGATTTGTATTTTTCTTTAATTTTAAATTTTAAAATTATTTTAGACTTACAGAAGAGTTGCAAAAATCACTACAATATAATAATCCAATTCAAGGAGTTAACATTGATATCTACTGTTATCTAATCTACAGACCTCACTCAGATTCAACCAACGGTCCCGTGCGTGTCTTTTAAATTAAAGCAAGGAGTTTTCGTTTTTCTGGCCCAGGATCTAGTCTAAGGTCACATGTTCTATTTCGGGGTCTTGTCTCTTTAGCTTCCTTTCATCGGAAACCTTTCCCCGCTCTTTCTTCATTTTTCACGACCTCGAGAAATTTGAAGAGTACGGTCAAGTCGTTTTGTAGAATATCCCTCAATTTTGGTTTTTCTGAGGTTTGCTCATGATTAGATTGAAGTTATGCATTTTGGGTAGGAATACACAAAAGTGAGGCTGAGTTCTTCCCCGTGCATCTGACTGGGAGGCATGTGGTATCTCTGAACCCCTTTAAGCCTCAGTTTCCCACCCTGTAAATGTGGTATGGCCCTGTCTCCTTACTGACGATGTTCGCTTTGATCGCCTGGTTGAGGTGGTGTCTGCCCGGCCTCTCCATCGGAGGTTCCTCTTTTCCCCTTTGTAATTAACAAGTGTCTCCGGGAGAGAGAAATTGAGACTACACCAATATCCTGTTCCTCAAACATGCACCACTAGCTTTACCGTCCATTGATGATTTGTGCTTCAATCAGTTACTGCAGTGATGGCTGCAAAATGGTGATTTTTCTAGCTTCCTCATCCTCTCTGCTTACATCACCTGGCTTCCTATTGCAAGGATGAGCACTCTCTCTCCCCCAGGCATTGGAGATTTTGAAAAGCTTTCTTGGAGAGTCTACTGTGCAGCCAGAGTTGAGACCCACCGATTTCTTCTGTTCTGTGAATTGCATTTTCCCCTCAACAATAAGTCTTGGCTGGCTTTCGGTATCACCCTGCTTTGTGATGGCTGTGCTATAATTTATTTAACTGACCCCCCACTGATGGGCATTTGGGTGGCTTCCAGCTCAGGGCTTTTTTTGGAAAATGCTGCAGTAGACAGTCTGGCACAGCCATGCACTTTTCTAGAAGCCAAAGACCCGGGGCACAGGAAGCCTGGCGGGGTCAAAACACTCAATTGTGAGTATTATTGAGGTCAAGTCTTAACTGACTTTGTCTTCATTGGAGGCGGCAGGGTCCTGGCCTGGCTAGTAGTTTCTGCTCCCCTGCGGGTCCTCCACCTGCCTCGGCCCGCTGTGGGTCTAAATGCTTCTCTGATTCTCTCCGGCAGGGCTGTGAGGAGCGGCTGACCCCCTTCACCCTCTTCCCCCGGCCCTGGAGCGCCCTACGTGTGAAGGAGTATGGATACACGCGGCTACACATCCTTAATGGGACCCACGTCCACATCCAGCAGGTGTCTGACGACCAGGTCAGTGAGGGGGACCCAATCACCTGCCCGAGTAACCATGCCCAGGGTGTTCTGGAGCCGAGTGGTTACAAACCTGGGCTCTAGAGCCAGGATCCTGGGTTCCGATCCTGCCCCTGCTGCCTACCAGCTGGATGGCCTCAAGCAACTCATTTAACCTCTTTGAGCCTCAGTTTTCCCATCTGCAAAATGGGAACGTTAATAGTTACTACCTCATAGGACTATATGGGGGTTGAATGACTTATTATATATAAAGTGCTTAGAACAGTTTCTAAAACATGGTAAATTCTATAGATATTTAGCAACATGAGGCAGGAGAAGAAAAAGGCAGGTGTTGGGAGATAGATAGAGGGAAGCCAATATGATGTGTGTGTGATAGGGATGGCTGAAGGTTAGATGGACCCAAATAATCATGGCTCATCTTTCTTTATTTTGGCCTTTGTAATTTTAGAATAATAATAGTAACTATGATTTATTGAGCATCTATTATGTCCCAGACCCTGGGCAAGACTTTATATTTAGTAGCTCTTTAATCACCACAACAATCCCATGGGGTGGATTTTCTTTCCATTTTACAGATGAGAGAACTGAGGTTCAGAGAGGGGAAGTAATTTTCCCAGGGTCATACAGCTGGAGAGTGGCAGCGCTGGGATCTGACCCCAGAGAACCATGTTCTTTTTATTATAAATAACTAGCATTTATTGAGTGGTGCATGCACCAGGGACAGGCTTCTTTGTGTATTATCTCCTTCTGTTCTCCCCACTTTATAGACCGTGGAAGTTGGGCTCAGAGTGACTGTGCTGGGGTGTAAAGGGAGGTTTGTCTGACTCCAGATTGTGCTTTAATAATAATAGTCGACACTAACCCGGTGTTTGCCGTGTGCCAGGCTCCCTTTTGAGTCCTTCCCAAATATCTCATTTAATTCCCACAACATCTATGATGTGGGTACTATTACTATCATCCCCGCTTTTCAGATGAGGAAAATGGAGGCTCAGAGATGTCTAGCAACTTGCCCCAGGTCACACAGCCCATCAGAAGCAGAGCTGGGATTTGAACCCAGGCCACCTGGCCCCAGAGTCTGGGCTCTCAGCCTCCACAACTTCCTCTGTTTTTGTCCCTTGCAGGATGGGAAGATTGTGGATGACATCTGGGTGGTGAGACCCCTGTTGGGCCGGATGATGTACCTCTAGGGATGAGGGCAGCTCTCATCAGGAACCATGGGCATTGCTGCCTTGGCTGGTGTGACCAGACACTGCCCAGGCCCTGGGCGGGGAGTCGAGGCGGGCCTCAAGTCCTCTGCCCTCCGGAGGCCCGGTGTGGGGGAGGATGCAGCCCGGAGGGAGCTGGGGCAGCTCTCCCCTCCCGGGGAGGCGGGGGTCCCGGCTGGCTGTGTCGGGAGGACACGTGTGCAGGACAGTGGAGCTGGGCAGGTCTTGGGTGACACGGCCCTGCCGCCTGCATAGCACCGCTGGGCGGGGTGCCCCTGGGGCGTCGGGAATAAAGAGGCCCGTGCTGTGGCTCCGTGGACTCTGCACGTCTGCTGGGGGTGCCTGCTGGGCCATCGCCTCTCCTGCCCGCAGGGGCAAGGGCATCGCTGGTCCCAAGTCAGCGGGTGGGCATGGCTGTCATGACACCACTGTCCAGCAGGTGGCGTTGGTGACTTTCTCCTCCTAGGCAGCCCCCAAGGCCAACCCCAGGCCTGGCTCCAATGGCCAGAGGAATGCTAACCAGTGTCCCTTTGTGCCTCAGTTTCCCAGCCTGGCACCGACGTATCCTGGAAGGGGGGAAGTGTTAACACTCCTGCCTCCCAGCTGGGCGGCTGACGAGCCTCAGGAGCTCACAAACCTGCTGTTTTCTTCCCTTTTTCTTTTCCCTTCCTCCCCCCATCTCCTTTCACTTACTCAACGATTATTTATTGCACACCTACTGTGTGCCAGGCCCTGTGCTCAGTACCAGGGAGACAGCCTTGAACAAGACAGAGGTCCCTGCCTTCATGGCGCTGACATGCCAACCAGAGGATCGAACAGCAGGCACAATAAATAAGTAAAATATATAACAGTGTAAATGGTGATAAGCGCTCAGAAAAAGCGGGGAAGAGGGATGGAGAGTAAGGGGGCAGCTGCACTTTCCATGAGGATGGTCTGGGAGACCTCACGGAGAGGGTGACATTTGATCTGAGGGAGGAGCCACATGGGCCAAGCTGTCCAGGTGCAGGAACAGCCTGTGCAAAGGCCCTGAGACAGAAACACATGGCCAGCCCTGTCAGAGTGTCAGTGAGGAGGCCAGAGTGGCTGGAGCAGAGCGAGTGAGGGGCAGAGTGGGATGAGGGCAGGGAGGGGACGGGGCAGATGGTGTGAGACCTCATGGGCCACGGGGAGGACTCAGCCTTCGTCTTGAGTGACAAGGAACCACAGGAGGGCTGTGAGCTGGTGAAGGACATGATCTGACTCCAGGAGTCCTAGGCAAAGGCTGGGCTCTGGCCCCAGGGCTGAGGGCTCCTCCATCGGGCTGCACAGTTTCTGCTCCTCACATCTTATTCCCACCCTCCGGCTCCTTGCAGTTTCTTGAAGACACCAGCTCTTTCTCCCTGTAGGCCCGTGCACTGGGTCTTTGTCCTCCGAGTGCCCTCTCCTTAGCTCACCCCGGGCTGGCACCTCCTAGCCTCAGGTCTCAGCCGTCCCTTGATGACCCCAGCTGAAGTCACCACAGTCGCTCTCTGCCCCATCCTGTGTTACCTCACTTCCAGCTCTTTGAATTCTCTCATTGATTGATCTGTTAACGTGTTCAGTGGTCAGTGTGCCCCCTGTGAGGGTGGACACCAAAGCCACCTTGTTCATTCAGGGGTCTACCACCTCCACCAACCCCTCCCAGACCCCTTCTCGGGTGGGGTTGGGGCCCAGGGCTCCCCCATCGCAGCCCCGCCCATTCTGGGCCGTCGCTGTCGGGGGTGGGGGGTCTGTCTCCCCACAGGCCTGTCAGCCCCAGAGAGCAGTGCCCAGGGCTCGCTGCAGCGCAGCCCAGCACAAGACAGAAGCTTAATAACTATTTGTTGCCTTAATGAGGGCCGCCACATGCCAGGCTCTGGCCGGGCGACACCAGGGACAATGCGGAATCAGCCCCAGGCTGGCTCTGTGAGAGCTCGCAGGCAGGCAGGGAAGCACGGTTACCCAACACGGGTGACAAAGAATGAAGGAATGACCTGGAGACTGCACCAAGCCCGAGATGTCACCAGCCGGGGAGTCATGCATCGCACACAGTGGCCAAAGGCTGAGCTGGCGCCGTGTGAGCCTGGCATGTTCCGTCCCAGGCTGGACGGGGCTGTGGACACACCCAGGCAGCGGGGTCCACAGAGAGCAAAGGCCTGGGCTGCAGCCAGACAGCAACTGGGTTCGAATCTCAGCTCTGTCTTCCTGTGCGATGTGGAGTCACCAGCCCTCTCTGAACCTCTGTTTCTTCTTCTGTGACAAAAGAATGATTACACTTTGTGGGGTTGCCTTGAGATTAAATGGGGTTGAAAGCTTTGGTGTCATCCTTTTCTCATGCCCCACATTCAATTAGCTGGTAAATTCTGCTGGCTTTGTCTTTAAAGTCTATCTAGAATTCGTCCCCTTCTCCCGCCTGCAAGACCCCCACCCTGGTCCTGTCCGCTTTGCCTCTCACCTCCTGCCTGGTCTCACCCCCACTCCCGTCCCTGCCCCATGATCTGTTCCCACACGCAGCCAGAGGGACTTGTGGACCCCTGCGTCAGATCTCGTCCCCACTCTGCTGAGCCCTCCTGTGGCTCCATCTCCCTCCGAATAAAAGCCAGAGTCCTCCCTGTGGCCCACCCCGCATGACCTGCCCGTCACCTCCCTGCCCTCACCTCCCACTGCCCGCCCTTGTCCTCTCTGCTGCAGCCGCACTGGCCTCAGCTATGTCAGGCCGCCCTCCCACCTTGGTGCTGGCCGTTCCCTCTGCCTGGGACGCTGCCCCCAGGGACCCACGCCTTCCCCCTTCCTCCACTCCTGCAGCTCCTTGCTCAAATCTCACCTTTCCGGTGAGACTTCCCTGACCACCTATTTACAACAGCAGCCCCACCTCCCCACCCCCC